CTGACATCTTTTTGCAGGTTTTGAATTGTTTCCAATGATCTGTCAATCCTATTTGATTGTTCTTGCAGAACTTTCCTTACTTCTTCCTTATTTTCCTCGACCCCTTTTCAGAGTATTTGAATTTGTTTCCAAATCATTCTTCTGAATTCCCTCTCAGGCATATCCAGAACCTGCTCCTCCTGCTCTATAAAGACTTTGTCTGTCTCCAGCTCATTTGCATCTGCTGTTCTCTTCTGCTTTTGGACGTGGTTTGATAATGTCAATGGTTGGGCATGACTATTTTTATTTTATTATAATTATTATTAATATGATCAGGAGTTAGGCGTCCCTTATTGTCTGTAATGCGTAGTAGGTGTGGTTAGGTGCCGGCGGGGTGGTGGCTGCACGAGCCAGCCGGTGCCGCCTGTGTCTGATAATGTCAGAAAGTCGCCGTACCTCTCCCTCTCTCTGTGCCGTGGGTAAACTGACTTGCTTGCCTGATATCCGCGTTGAGATCCCATGCTAGGGCAGGGAGATTTTTTTGTGGGAGGTATGTCGGCTCTTGCGGCTTTGTTTGTTTATGATTCTCCTTTACTGGAAGCGCCACTTTTGAACAGGCTGGCTCCAGCCCCGCCCTCCAAGCTGTACAGGTGGTGGGGGCAGTCGCTGGTACAGGAGCTGCGCGCAGTAGCAGGCGAAAGTTTAAAATGCCAGTAATTCCTCAGTAGTGTGATTTTTTAAAAAAGCGAATTCAGGAGGTTGAAGCACTAGGTCTTATGATAGTACGAAGGCTGTGGGTCTGCTACAGGAAGGTTTCCTTCATGAGATTCCTGCTCTTTTCTCCCCGAAGCTTCTCCTACCTGCATCGTCTGGCTTCAGTCCAGAAAAAATTCATTACTTTTTATTTAATCTTTTTATAATATTGATGTATATGTAAAATAAGGAATGTGATTAACATCCTTGAAACAGTGAAAAAATATGACTTTAAAAACAATTTCATCCTACAACTGCATGAGAGTCTACAATTATCTCAATGAAAATTTCTATTAAAAAAAAAATTGATGCCAGAGATCAGCATTTTACATCCTTTCATGGCACTTTCTTTCATCTTAAGCCTCTTTTAATGTAACATATACTCTTGTGAGCCACACTGGAAATCAATCAACTTTGCAAAATTATATGATAACATAATGACTTTTAGTGAAACACTTCATTTCAGAGGAATGTATTTGTAAATATATCATTATATATCTCATTTTTGATGCAATCCTTGATTATAATGTTGAAAGAAATTTTGACTTATTCCAACTTGATAACTGATGCACATAATTTACTTCAATTTAATTATTTTAGCTCACTCATGACTAAGCAATATACTTAAAAATGACATGTCTATGGACCAAACATACTGTGAAATAAAAATAACCATGAGCTAAAGGGAGAAAAAAACCTTCAATTAATCATCAAAATTAGCTTCCTTTTTCCCTCTTAGCTCTTCCAAACTATTCAACTATGTCACTTGAGTGCTGTAACGCCAACAAACATGAGCAATGGAAATGGATGTGTTTTGGTTCTTTCTGTCTGTTCCCCCTCCATACCACCCCCTGGCTCCCAAATTTCATTTGAAAACTAAGCCCAAGGTGAGTGGCAGCATGCTAAGACAGCTCATTTCCCATGAGGGTGCACTTTCTAGGTGTTTAGTCTTATTTCAGAGCCTTAAGCAAAAGGAACCTTGGTGGCACTGTGGGTTAGGCACTGGGCTGCTAATGTAAGGCCAGTTGTACAAACTGCTCCATGAGAGAAAAGATGAAGCTGTCTGCTCCCGTAAAGATTTACCATCTCTCAGACTCTATAGAGGGTCACGGAGTTAGAATCGACTCAATGGCAATGAGTCCTTTAAGAAAATGTTACTGAAAAGTCAAGCCCAGGCAGCCAGGTAGCATGGAGCAATGTGGCCTGAAGAAGCTAGGGCTCAAATGCCAGTTTGACTTGAACACGTTGTGTGTTCTCGGGGGCAGCTGTCTTTCCTCTCTAGACCTTTGATTTCCTTATGGGTAAAATGGGAAAACCAACAAGTTGACTGTTAAGGACCTCATACATTTTAAAGCTGATCCTACAAGCAACCAAAGTTGAGAATTATACGTACCTCACGAGGGTATTTCTGAGTAAACAGTGCTGGAAATTTGAGATTTCTCACATCACTTAAGGTCTAAAGAGAAAGAAAAGTGTTACTTGTTTTAAAATTTATTTTGATATGTAGAGTTAATTTAAACAAATATATTTTCTGACACTAACAGAATAATTAAGAAGAAAGGTTAGATATTAAAAGGGTGTGAAATTTATCAGTAGCTTTTGCTAACTTGCAGTTTTATATATAATTGCTTCCTGAACCCAGAGTCGTAAGATAACACTATCAAATAAACAAAATCTAGAAATGAGTTCAGATACAAAAATAGTATATTAACAACAGGAAGACAGACTAGGAAGAAAGAGTGACGAACTACTTCTGAATATCTAGTCACTGAAAACCTTATGAATAGCAGAGAAACACTATAGATATAGTGCCGGAAAATGAGCCCCTCAGGTTGGAAGGCACTCAAAATGTGACTGCAGAAGATCAGCCTCATCAAAGTAGAGCTGACCATGATGATGCGAATGGAGTAAAACCTGTGAGAGTAAAGTCTGCGGAACCTTCATATGCTGATGGGGCACAACTCACAATGAAGAGGGACAGCTGTAAACATCCACTGAAAATTGGAACATGGAATGTACGAAGTATGAATCTGAGTAAATTGGAAGTTGTCAAAAATGAAATGGAATGCATAAACCTCGATATCTTAAGGCATTAGTGAGCTGAAATGGACTGGCACTGGCCACTCTGAATCTGATGACCACATGGTTTACTATGACAGGAGTGACAAACTGAAGAGGAATGGTGTTTAATTCATCGTCAAAAAGAACATATCCAGATCAGTCATGAGGTACAAGGCTGTTTGCGATAGGATGCTATCTATCTGCCTACAGGGAAACCCAGTTAATACCACTATTATTCAAAT